CCGTCGCCCGCTTCAACTCGGGCTCCTCGCAGCGCCGCCCGCGCGGAGGGATGTGGGACTCGTAGTGCCGCCGCCCGCGCAGCAGCCCCGCAGCGCCGCTCGCCGACTATAACTCCCAGCGTGCCTCGCGCCGGCCCCAGCCGAGCCGCGTCTGCGCACTGCGCTCCGACCCCATCGGAAATTCAGCGGCCGCTGGGAAACTTGCTGACTCCTCACATTGCGGGGCAGTGGCGGGCGGGACCGAGCGAGCGAGGGAGCTCGCGGGGCCGGGTGCGGCTGCCCTACCGCCTTCCCTCCCCACGCACCCCCTGGTGCTCTCCCGCCGTCCTCTTCACTCTCGGGGCCGCGCTGCAGCTGTTGGGCGCGCGCGGCCCAAGGAAGCGCGCGCGGCAACTTGTTTATCTCGCGAGCTGCCACTCACGTCCTGGCCCCGCCCCTCATGTTCAGCGGCGCTTCCGATTGGTCAAAGCAAGTCCCGCCCCCTTTCCCAAAGCATAAAATCAGTTGTCTGTAGCAGTGGAAGAAGCATTGCTGGTTAGGTGGTATCGGAGAGGGTGTGTGATTTTTTTTTTTCTTCTTCTTTCTCCTGGTCTTTGTGTTTATCTTATTCTTGAGGGTGTTCAGGATTTTTGTAATGGCTTCAGTGTTCCTCCCTTCAAGCTAGTCTTTGTTCTGCCGCTGAGCTGTTCCTTGGCTGCTCCAAACAAAAGTTGCTTCTATTTCACAGCCCAGCAGATAGTTTGTAGCTTCTTCCAACCAAGCTGTAGCTATTTTTGTTTCCCTCTAAAACTGCATATTCCCGGTAGTATCCCAGAGGTCTGAGAACAAGCAGTTCTGGCTCCAGCAAGCTGTCCTTATTTGTCTTGTCCCTACATGTTACCAGGGGCCTTTTGAGTCTGAAGAGAATGGGTTTAAAAAAAGCATAGAGCTTTTTTTCAGGCATTTAAAAAAGATGGTTCTGTAGTCAAGCAGTCACAGGAGTGCTTTGAGTCTCTAAAACTAACATTAAATGCCAAAGTCTTTTTCTTGTGTAAGATCTTTTTGTAGGTCAAGTTTATCCAGGGTGTTCAGACACTGGATTAGCAACACGCTTGTTTTTTGAAATTACTCATGATTTCTTTGTGTTGTGGAAGCACCAACAAGCCCTAATCAGTCATCAGGACTACCTCATGCTGTGTGCTGTGAAAGTTAATACAAAAGTCATCCCTGATCAGCAGACTCTGGTTTGAACAAGCAGCTACAAGTGAATGAAGTGGAACAAACACCGTTACTAGGAGAACAAAGTAGTAGTAGTAGTTGATTTGGCATGTAGGAAACTGAAATGCTTGACAACCTGCCTACTCACTATCAGCTAGCTGGCAGTGTTTTTATGCATGAGTTAACAATGTGCTAGTCTAATTGATTGCAGTGGGGATTTGTTTCCCATGCATAAGGGACACACCTTGTGAGAGAGATGAATTACCAGATGAGAGGTTTACCATTGTTGATAAAGGAAAGGGACAGATGAATTGCAGACAGGGCTAAATTATTATGGTGAAGACAAGAAACTTGTTTCTGAACTAGTGGCAAAAAGATTAATATAATCCTGAAGTGATAATTCAGGGGTTGGGAATTTACGGCTCAGCAGGCCAGATCCAGTCCCTGGATGTGGGCTTTTCCCTGCTGCTGCTACTGGGAGAAGTGCCACCTGCAGGCACTTTCCCACTCTGCCCTGCACAAAAGTGTCAGCAGCTGGATCCCAGTGTCCACCACATCTGACCCACCCAAACTGGGTCACCCCAGCTTGTAGCCCAAAAAGGTTGCCAACAGCTGTGGGAGCAGGAAAGCTATGTCTTGTATAGTGCCAGACAGCTGACTTCCCCTCCTGTAAGAGTCAGTGTCAAACAGCTGACTTTCCTTCTCTCTGCAAGCAAACTTCTCTAGAGAACTATGGGTACTGTTTTCTGCAGTGGTTCAGTTGCAGGTATGGAACTCTATCAACACAGTCTGTTTCTGAACTCCTACATATTGGGATATTTCCATTTGCCTGTCAGCAACAACACTGAAGAAAGTATTCTAAGAATAGAAAAAATCCGCTATCTTTAATAGTCTCAAGCTTTACAATCTTATCAACTGTTTAGTCATCTGGTAATCATACTTTGCACTTGAGGAAGAAACAAGTACATTTATCTACATTGCTATGTTGCCCTGATATATTAATTCAATTTTAACCAATAAAAGAAATACCCAAGTGTGTTACTAAGACTAAACTCCACAAACCTGCATGTAGCCCTTTTCAGTCAAAATAATGCGAAAAGATGGGAAATATCAATGACAAATATGTCTCTCTTTCTTCAGTTCTGTCATCTACCTATATAACTACATGCCATATGGCACAATAACTAATTGCATGCCTGCAACCTCAGTTGCTTTTTTGTCACTTGGCCTTTCTTCACTTCCTATCTCCACTTTTCTCAGCACTGTATTTTTCCAGCTCTTTTATTTTTTTGCTTACCTTCCCTTTCACTCTAATAACTATCCCTTGCTCATCTCATTGTTGCAGTAGTGGATTTGTTCTCCTCCTCTAATCCCTCCATTTGTTTCAAGGGACAATCCCATTTCCATTGTACCCACTCATCCTTTCCTTAACCTTAACTGCTCTATGCTCTTTGGTTCTTTCCCTTCACAATATAAATATGCTTCAGTTTTTCCTTTCTCTCTCACCCACCTGTGACCCCAGTTGCCTCTCCACCTAGGCATGTCACTAGTAAAAATCAATTAATTTGCTGTCTGTAATAGTAATCTGGTATAAGTCTCAATTTAAAAGATGAATTAAGATGTGTAAGAAAGCTATGAAAATTTCAGGCCTCAAACCATTAAAAGGTGAATGGAAGTCTATGTATATTTATTTGCAATTTTGTAACTTTATATGTGTATACTAGCAAACTGCCCATCAAAAGTTATGTGGGGGGGGCCAGTGGGCAGGTGGGGACAGAGCGCCCCCACCCACCACCTCCCAGAAGTGAGGGGTGGGAGGGGAGCTTGCATGTGGCAGCCGCCACCACCAGCCACCACTCCATGCTGCCGCTGCTCCACATCAAGCCGTGCACCACCCCCTGATGCTCTGCGTCCATCCCCATGCCACCACCTTCCCGTTCTGTGTCCAGCCCCATGCCACCCATTCTACTTCCTCTTCCCGCTCCACATCTGCCTGGCCCACTCCACTGGAGCCATGCCCCACCCGTCATTCTTGACAGGCATTCTTGATGCAGCACTGGCTGAATTAAGCCCTTTATATAGAGGGCACATTGACAACGGATTAAGCCCTTTATATAGAGAGAATTTTCGCCAAAGTACCAAAACTAAGCTCTGAGTTGACTGTTTTCTCTACAAAATAAATAAACTCTTAGAAAAAAAATACTTTTGATCTCATTAACTCTTGCAAGGGACAATACCTTTTTCAGGTCCTGTCAGGCAGTCATAGTTCATAATATGTTTACTATGTCTGAAATGTTTAATCTGCAGATATTAAGTATTAAGGAGAGCTGTAATTTTCAGTGGTGCCCTGCATGTACCACAACAGTTTGATTTTCTCAGGCAATATATTTGCCTTATGGGGGAAGGGATTCATATTTTTGAGCTGGTTCAGTATGTCCTTGGATATTCACTACCTTTATTGTGATACCTTGACGATTAAAGGCACTAAGGCAGAAAAAAATAGCTCATTATGTTTTGAAAGGTAAAGAGTACTAATCTTGCCATCAATAGAGGCATTTTCATGAAACCAAGTTTCATGAAAGGGCCTTTCTTTGATTTCTTTCCCCTTTAGTATATTGCAATAGTGTTTTAGAATCTTTAAATGAAGCCAACTGGAAGTGGAAGTGAAAATGAAAATGACTAGTTTTTTTATTGTCCAAACGGAGTAAGGTGAAAGTAATTAGCAGAACATTCATAAGAGATAAGGAAGTGTATTTTTTAAACTAAAGGTAAACCTAACAGTGTCTGTTTTAAGAAGTCAAGGAGAAGAAAAGAAAAACAGTAGTAGCTATGATCACAGTTGTACCAAAATAATACATAGCATAGTGCCAGCTATGCTTTCCAATACAGAGCTAAGTTGCAGAAGAATAGTGGTAACGATACTGTCTGTTCCTGTTCTACCACTCCCTCACACACCTTCCAGCAGTTTGTATCCTGGATCCTTAAAAGCACAGAATTAACTCAGTGATCAGGAGTTTATCCTTGCCAATATAAATTATTTAAAGAGTTCAGTTTTTTTGTTCCAACTTATTTTAGGCAACTCCAGAGGGAGAGGTTTTCTTCTCTAAAAAGATGGAAACAATAGTGGGGTTTGGTTTTAATCACTCTACATTTCTGTACACATGCCCTCTGACTACAGAGAGGCTCACAAGGGTGGAGAGAGGGAGCTGTTTTAATGAGAGGCTGGAGAAGAACAGCACAAGACATCCTTGTCTCCCCTTTACCTCTGGAAAGGGAGTCACACCAAGTAGTAACTTAGAGAAAATGGAGGACTCTTTAAGCAACAGCAAATGAGAGGGAGAAATACTGAAAGAAACAAGTTGTATTGTGTAATTAGGGTTACCATATTTCCAGTTCCAAAAAAGAGGATACCTGCTGGGGGGAGGAGGGGATATGATTGTGAGGGGAAGTCTCCTGTCCCCCCATGCCCTGTTGCTGCGCCTCATTCCCAACCCACAGTTCCCTACCCCCCGGGCTATTCTGATGCCCCTCACTCCTAACCCACAGCCCCCACCCATCCCTGCTGGTGCCCCTCACTCCTGACCTGGAGCCCCTTGGTACTGCCAGTACCCTGGACTCCTGACCCAAAGTCCCCCACACCCCCAGTGCCTCTCACTCC